ACTAAGCCTTCCATTTCCTTTTATTCCTTACTTTGCTTTTAAGCTTTCAAAGATACCTAAAACATTGAGTTGGTCAATGATTGATAATTGCATAATCATTTAGTTTAACACTCTAAATTAATATCATTATCTTTCAAATGGATGCATCTATCGACATTTTATTGGTCTTGTAATCTCTCGCCTCATATGGTAGGTGGATTGGAAGATTTTTTATAGAGTTAAAAATTTAAGAGAGAATATACCCTTTAGTTTACACAAATTTAAGGGTATCTCTACTTTAAGATGCACTATATCATCTATCTTTACCACAATTAAAGTCAAGTCTTTAAAAAACAAACTCAACTCGGTAAGTGTTTGTCAAACATTTCCCAATAAAATCTCTTGAAATGCAATAAGTGCTAACTTCTGCATAAACACATGGCGATCATGACTTTTTATATCCGCACATCTAGCTAGGTTTGACACACATTTGTTAGAAAACTTGAGTTATTCGATCCATTCAAGAAATATCATTTTTTGTTGTTTGTCCAGTGTAAAACTTGTTGTAGGGTACTTTTCAAAGGCTTTATTCATTGCTAATTCGGCATCAAACAAAAAAAAAAAATTCAATTCTTCCCCGAAATTTATATTGTCTTTAGCTTTGTCAAATATATTCATTGCTATATTAAACATATTGTCGAACATATTTTTTCAATATACATAACATCCAGATTGTATCGAATGATATTAGTACTTTAATATGAAAAATGCCACAATATACTCCATTTCTTCTAACTAGACACTTAAGATATTTTATTATTATACTTATATATATCCTTTTGTATCATCTTCATCAACTCCTAATCTACTTTCTACGAAAAAATCTTTGCTCCAAAATAGGTTCGAGGAGGATCATCCATCATAACTTTTTTTTTTGGTAAATGAGTTTTTGTTCCTTTTAAATGGATGATTTTCGAGCGGGAACTCATTGTGATATTCAAACCATGAGGTTTTTCCTTCATTAGAAAGGACAAAAGCATTATAATTCTCTCCATAATAACAACATGCAAATTTCTCTATAATACTCCAACCGGACAACATCGAATATTTAGAAAAGTCACCGATTGTCCATATCATTACGGTGCGATATAGAAAATTCTACTTTCGATATACATCGTAGGTTACCACACCTACTTTTCATTACCGAAGTAACTCCGAAATCAAAGGTCGATGCAATAGAAGGATGTATTTAATTGAAATACCATCCGCAATAGAGTCGAGCAATGACGCATGACTTCGCATCCCGACCTTATGCTTGATGTTTTACATCATGTGCTCAACTATGGCGTTTGATGCATGCAATATTTGTAAACGTAAGGTGAGCAAAAAGTAGTATATTTTTTATATAAAACATCCTTTTCTCTTATCGATCATCACCTCAAACTTCAATATTGAGGATGAGAACATAACTTGCAAGTAGTTAATTCAATATCTTCACCCTTAATAAATCATACGAGTGTTTATTACAATTTTAAATCTTTTCTATTGATAAATCCATCCCTTTCACTAATTTTTTAATGCTGTAAAAAACATATGTCATAAAGTTATCAACGGACATTAACTCCTTCATCAACTCACATATTTCGCTGTAACACCGTTAAGAAAAATGGTGTTTCGACTTAAGGTTTAGCGATCGAGCAACTATATAGAAACTATGAGTAATTTTTACAACCAAACCAAATCTTTCTATTCACTACATTCAACATGTCATAAAAAGCTCAAGCATCGAGATTTGTCACCTCATCCATTCTAAACCGATTAAATGATAGACCAACCGTATCCATCATTATTGTTTGATATGAATTAGGGGATTAACTACAACTCCTTTCGCCTTCATGAAAATTTTCCGGCTCTAAATAACTCTTCGACTTAATTTTTTTTATCGTGTATCCAATCATAATATCCAAGATATGAATTAGGGGATTCACTACAACTCCTTTTACGTTCATGAAAATTTTCCGACTCAAAATAACTCTCCGACTCAATTTTTTTTATTATCATGTATCCAATCATATTATCCAAAAAAAAAAAAAAGTATCTCATTAAATGATATTTAACTATCTCAACCTTTTTAAAATTTTGATTCCGACAATTACGACGATTATAAAGACACCTTAATTTTCTTCCGTCCATACATTTAGGATGAGTAACAACAAATGCAATAAATTTTTCAACCTCATTCATAAAATTATCATTTAAACACCCATTTGTTAACCTAACATATATCCATGCACGATCGGACATCATTATTTTGTTTCGCATTTCGAAGAAACACACAATTATTTAATTAATAATTTTCCTAAACATCTAATAAAATTTTGGTAGAGTATCCCTTGTAAATTGAACCTTTCTTAATTACCGGATACTCTAAATTATCACAAAAAACTACATCTAAAATACATGATACATACAAATATTTTCAATTAACAATGATAACACAAACATAACCAACAATCAATTTGCACACATCGAGACTCGCACTTGCCTAAGGTACTTTATTGAAATAAAATCTCAAACTTGTCCTTCTAGCTCTATCATAAAGTATTGAACCAACCTTATTTCTCCTCGTTTTCTAGAAGTCTCCGATTCCTCGAGTTCGATACACTACAACGTATCTCGACACACTTTAATAATCATCAATAAAATAATTAAATTAACCATAATACAAACCTAATTAAATATTAAATAAAAAATAATTAACAAATTGCAATATAAATAAAATTAAACATTAACAAGTTAATAAAAATTAACCCTAATTTAAATTAACCTAACTAAATTAATTCTAATTCAAACCCAATTAAATTTTAAATAACAATTAATTAAAAAATTGAAATATAAATAAAATTAAAAATGAAAAAAAAATAATCAAAATTAACTTAATTAATTTAAACCTAAATCAAATAAACTTAATTAAATCTAATTCAAACCTAATTGAATTTTAAATAACAAATAATTAATAATTTACAATTTAAATAAAATTAAAAAATGAACTAATTAATCGAAACTAACCTAATTAATTTAAACCTAAATCAAATTAACTTAATTAAATCTAATTCAAACTTAATTAAATTTTAAATAAAAATTAATTAACAAATTAAAATATAAATAAATTAAAAATCAACCAATTAATTAAAATTAACCTACTTAATTTAATCGTAATTTAAATTAACCTATGTGAATTAATCTCGATTGAAAGCTAATTAAATTTTAAATAACAATTAATTAAAAACTAACCTAACAATTAACAAAAATAACAAATTAACAAACTAATCAATCAATTAACAATATAAACAAAATTAAAATCCAACCAATTAATCAAATTAACCTAATTAATTTAAACCTAAATCAAATTAAATTTTAATTCAAACCTAATTAAATTTTAATTACCAAAAAGTTAACAATTTGCAACATAAATAAAATAAAAAATCAACCAATTAATAAAAATTAATCTAATTAATTTGAATATGAATTCAAAATAACTTATGCAAATTAAATTTTAAATAATAATTAATTAACAAACTAACCTATCAATTAACAAAAATAACAAATTCATAAACTAATCATCGAATTAACAATTAAACAACAATTTTTTATGAAAAAGAGAGAGAGCTTATCTTCGAAAATGGGGGAGTAGAAGGAAGAGACGGAGAGAAAAGAGGAAATTCAAGACTTTTTAGGAAGAACAAGAGTTTGGAGCGGGTGGAGATTGTTAGTGAGTGAAGGAGCAAGGTTTTGTCGTAGTTTTGGGTGGGGATTGCAACTGGCAGCGAAAGGAGGGAGAGGAAGAGAAAGAGAGAAAATGGGGAAGAAAAAATGAGATATGGATTTAGGGATTTAGGATTAGCAATAGACTCGATCTAGTTGCCAATATATCTATCATTGATTTTGAATTGATAAGTCTGCTCTTTTTTTTAATATTAGTGACAGGATTTCGGTCGGTAATTTGCAATGAAAATATGAAATCAGAGATGAAAATTCTATTGCTTGCTCCAAAACCCAAAAATAACGATGGAATTAAGATTTCATCGATGATTTCTCTTGCAATTTATCTAGTTGCCAATATGTCGTTGATTCTGAATTGATAAGTTTGCTTCTTTTTTTTCTCAATATTATCGATGAGATTTCAGTTTCTAATTTGCGATGAAAATATGAAATTATTGATGGAAATTCCATCGCTCACTCCAAAACCCAATAATAGCGACAAAATTAAGATTTCGTCGATGATTTCTCTCGCAATTTTCTTACTAAAGCATCTCTAATATATCCGTGAATATTTTGCTGCCATAATCCGTCGCTAGCCCGTTGGTGTTATGCAGCTAAAACCAACATCTCAATAAAAGTCACAGTTCCATTGCGACTCCATTGCTATTCACCGACAGACTTCAGTCTATCGCTAATTTACGTGGCCTTGACTGACAAAGCAGAAAACTATCGTTTTATATTTATCTTTGAACTGGCCTTGTTCTTTGTCGTTATTAAAAAGAGACTATATGACCTAAAAAGGAAATACCTCTGAAACTTAGTTAATTGTCTGTGCACTGCATAAGTCAAGACGATGACACCAATGGAAAATGCGAAAAGGGAACGAGGAGAAAATTAGGTGGATAAGTGGAACATAGACGAAAATTACATCCGTGCATTAGTCCAACAGCTACTATCAGCAAATGGAGCTGGGGATTTTGACATGTGGTGTGAACAGACCGATTTCATACCTGTTTGCTTCCAAGGACTGACTGTTGCAGAAATTTCTGGACTGGCCACTTTGTTGACATTTTAAAATAATTGAGGTTGAGGGTGACGCAAGTTATCGTGACATTTTTTTCAGTGCCGATTGAAAGCAGTATGGGTGTATATATTTCTCCATATGCGTGGGTGGTATTCATGCTACTGCTTGTTTCACAACTAACTATCTAAGTGAAAACTTAGAAGAGATAGTACCGAGGAAAAAATCCAAATCCAAAATGTACAATCCCTCAGCTGGCAATTCTATGTTATGTAGAAATTTCATGCGGCCTAGGATTAATGTCCAGGCCAGTTGGAAAACCCAAAAGGAGGGAATTGCTTGCAATACGAAGGTACCCCGCAATGTCAACATGGAGAAGTTACGTAGTGGCTATTTGTTTCCTGAGATCTCAATGCGTGAGGTTCAACACATTGAGAAGTACCCAGATGCGAAATTGATAAGCCTTGGAATTGGTGATACCACAGAGCCCCTACCGGATATCATAGCTTCGAGCATGGCAAATTATGCACGTTCACTTTCAACAGCAGAAGGTTACGGAGGGTATGGAGCTGAACAGGGCAACAAATCCTTGAGGAAAGCTATTGCAGAAACCTTTTACAAAGATGTTCAGATAAAGGAAACAGAAGTTTTTGTGTCAGATGGCTCACAGTGTGATATTACTCGCCTTCAGCTGCTCCTTGGTTCCAGTGTGTCAATTGCTGTGCAGGATCCATCCTTTCCTGCCTATGTAGATTCAAGTGTCATAATTGGTCAAGCTGGTGATTTTGAAGATAAAACCCAGATGTATGGGAACATTGAGTACATGAAATGTGTGCCTCAAACTAACTTTTTTCCTGACTTAGCAAAAACTTCACGATCAGATATAATCTTCTTTTGCTCTCCGAATAATCCCACCGGACATGCTGCAACGCGCCAGCAATTGGAGCAGCTTGTGAAGTTTGCTAAGGAGAATGGATCGATCATAATTTTTGACTCTGCCTATGCAGCTTATATCAGTGATGATTCTCCTCGATCGATCTTTGAAATTCCTGGGGCACGAGAGGTTGCGATTGAAGTTTCATCTTTCTCTAAATTCGCTGGGTTCACAGGCATTCGTCTTGGCTGGACAGTTGTTCCTGAAGAACTGTCCTTCTCAAATGGTTTTCCTGTAATAAATGACTTCAATCGCATTGTATGCACTTGTTTCAATGGAGCATCAAGTATAGCTCAGGCTGGTGGACTGGCATGTCTTTCCCCAGAGGGTTTCGCAGCTGTGTGTTCCATTACTGACTACTACAAGGAGAACGCAAAAATACTGCTCGACACTTTTGCTTCTCTTGGTCTAAAGTTATATGGTGGTGAAAATGCTCCTTACGTTTGGGTACATTTTCCTGGTTCAAAATCTTGGGATATATTTGCTGAGATTCTGGAGAGGACTCATATAATAACCGTTCCAGGTTCTGGATTTGGTCCGGCAGGTGAAGAGTTCATGAGAATTAGTGCTTTTGGACACAGAGAGAGTATCCTAGAAGCCGCAAGGAGGCTGGAAAACCTTTATTTGTAGAAAGTAAAAATTTGATGGCTCCTGACTCGTCTATCTCTAAATATCAAAGTTTTTTTCTTCACAAGTTTTAGTTTACCGTATCATTGGCTAGGAAATTCTCCATTTGCATGGGATACAGAGACTGTATATATAGTCTTTGATATCTTGCAGGCAGCTGATTAATGTTCTTGTTTTTCACCTTGTTTGTAGAATTGGGAATAAGGCAGCTCATATCGTGGCTAAGCAATTGGATGGGAATACGCATGTATGTACTTGGGTTCTTATATAATCATACTGTTGCTTTGGAGGATTTGCAGTGATTTTGTATCATCGAACGAAATATTCATTTCTGTGGCTACAGTCTCATGTTTTTAAATACATAAGCGACAATTAAAAATTTAGAATTTATTAGCCTTTAAGGATGAATTAGACATGTTTATAACAAATGAAAGCGTAACATCATGTCGAAGAATATCTAATTTATCCAAAAATGTTGGTTTGAACGGAAAACACTTTAACTGTTTAATCAAATAGTTTCGATTTCAAATCGTTTTATATGTAAAAAATTTCTTAAATAATTGTGTCTATTTTATACATTTCATAGAATAATTATAAATTAATATAGACATCTCAACATGGGATATCTTGAACATAAAAAAAAAAAAATTAGTCTACCTATATAAATATTAAAATAAATTATATATCTTTTATTAATACATATAAAATACTTAAGTATTGACATAGACTTCAAGTAATTTCTTACCAATGACATCAATTTTTCTTCCACGATATCTCCCGGTCATTCTCTTTAATACGTCCTTTGTTTTTAATTAATTATATTAAGTCTATGAAGAATGTGATCTGGGTTATTTCCATGGGCGTAAAAAAAGCTGAAGAGAAGACAATTTTTTTAAAAAAGATATTGCTTTTCTCTCTCCTGGCTAGTTGAAAGAAAAAAAAAAAAACAAAAAACAAAACTCTTTGATTTGACAGTGCTGCAGAAAAAAAAAAAGACTTGATTTGACAAGTCGTCTGTTAAGACATATATATATATATATATATATATATATATATATATATATGTATGTATGTATGTATGTATGTATGTATATCTCACAAAAGTCACGAAACCATCCAACTCTGTTCCTGTAATGTACAGAATATTCACGTGCTAAAAATTATTATTAGAGATACAAGTCTTGTTTCAGCGCTAGCAGCGACTGCCATTTTGTCTCCTAATTTATTTTGCGTAGGACATGATTGGTTTTATGATGCATTTTTCAGTTCCATGTTTCCAAGATGAATTATATAATAAACAATTATTACATATAATGCTAATTATTTTTGCATTTAACCCTCCAATTATATTTATTATCCGCACCATTCAATTTGATATGTCTCAATATATTGGCATGTTATTTACATGATAATTATGTTAGAATTTAATTGCATCAGATGTTAAATTAACAAGTGACTCTTGATTTTAAGATATGACGATAAATTAACATGATTTCAAAATAAATATTAATCAATTTAGTTGGTCCTTCTTGGTTGATGCATAGTTGACATAACAATCTTGTCGGGACTTAATCAAATTTGATATTAAGTTAACACAATTCTTAATTTCAAAAATTGATATCAATTTAAATTCACGACAATCTAACCACTAATAAACTCAAAGATAAACTTAAAAGATAGTTTGAGTTATAGTAATTTTTAAAAAATAATTTAGAAATAGAACAAGTTTGATAACTTTTTCATATTAAGAGATTTTTTTTTTATGATTTTTATCTTTTCATAAACATAATTAACTTTTTATCCATATTTTTTTAAAATCAATCTCATTTTAGGTTTTTTTTTTATTTGTTTTTATTAATATTAGATGATGACTTTATTTTCCTTCACTCATCTTTTTTAACGTTAGAAGTCTCATACGTCGAATAACTATAATATAGATAATATTTTGCTTGCAAATAGCGATTGAAGTTTGCAACATAACACTAAGCAAATTATTGTTGCTTCTTTCCCTATAGAAGCATAATTCGTTACATTGTATTCATCACACACTATACACATAAACACTTACATAGGTTTTTATAGGTGGCGAATTCACATTTTTTCAATGGACATTAAAAATATTTTTAGATTGGTTTGTGCATCAATCGAAATTAAATTTCTTCATATATAATTTTAAAAGTGCACTTCTCGTATACATCTATATATCTAGTATACTAAGAAGAATTTAATAGATTTCTCTAATATTGGTCCAAAGATTTGAACCCAATAAATCGATAAAGAAAATGAATCACCTGACCAATTTCTTAAAATTAAATTCTTCATAATGGTAAAATATCATCGAGCTAGAGCTTAAGCAATCAGATTTAGTTTTTTTTTTTTCTTTTCTTTTTTTGTAAGCGAAGAATATATAGAAGAACTTGATAAGGAAGCACTGCCAGAGACTGCTGGTTTCAAATTAAGATCCAAAAATAGTTATTAGAGTATTTAATAATTTCTCAACGAAGTGTATTAAGCAAGAGACTGCTGGTTTCACCTTACATTCTATGAACCATATAATAAAAATATGAAATGCGATATTGTTGTAGTAAAATGTAGTTTCTCTTGAAGTCATTTTGCTGTTTTAAAAGTATAAACGTATTATATATTAAAATAACTCGAGTTGTATGAACTTGTCCCAAAAAAAAAAAAAAAAAATCAAATTAATTCAATTTTCACGTTTTCATGACTTCAAACAAAACTCCACCTCTAATATTTAACAGATAATAAAATTTCTTGTTTTTATAAAATAAATAATTTCAAATACAAATTTATTACACAACAAAACTTATTTTTTCAAAATACTTTACACACATATATATATCTGTGTGTGTGTCGATTTCTTAATTAAATCTTTCATCTTGATCATAAAAAAGATACATAAATCCATAGGCTGATGGATGTGAATTATCTGATTTGGCTAAGAAACTTTTTTGGCTAATTCAGTTAGTAATTTCGTTTCTTCTTTGCTCGATATATCATTTTTACTATCTAGAGCAAGTCTGTGACCATTATGTCGTGGCATTATTTGGGCTTCTTTTGGTCCGGCTTTCACTCTCCAGTCTCCAGCTTATGCCATTATTTTGTGGGCTCAGGCATATAGATCTGGGCCATTAGAATTTTTCGGGTCGATAGACTATAGAGGAAGACATCGGGTCGAAATTTAGTTTAGTTCCATTGCTCAACGGTATAAATCGTACGAGTCTAAGATTGTTTTTTTTCTTTTTTTTCCCTGAAAAAAAAAAACAAAGACTGGTTTCTTAATAGTGTTTTTAGTTCGTTAGATGAATGGTTTGTGTTTTTTTTATTAGATAGTAAAAATATGTTTGAATTAATTTATAAGTTTATCAAGATTATATATATATATTAAAAGTGTATTTTAAATAATTTATCTTATATTTTTTAAAAATATATATATTTAACGCAAATGTTGAAACTGTTGTTCAGATAATTTGTCTCCATTTTTTTTTAGAAAAAAAAATTTATAAAAACAAAATTTATTTAAGAATTTGTTGATTTTGAAATTTTCTTCTTAGATTGTTATAAATTTTTAGTTAAGAATTCGAAAAAAAATAATTCATGCTTTTTTAATAGAAGATTTATGAAAAACATAAAGATTAATAAGTCAAATATCAAATTTGATTAGAAAATTATAAAATTGAAGGGTTTTTTTTTATTTGATATATTTTAGTGGATTCATAATATATTATGGACCATCAAATTGAAATGACTTTATATATTACGTTCTACCCACAACGTAGCAAGAGTAAAAAAGATAATGTTAACTAGACATTTAGGCTATGTGTTATTTTGGGAAAAATAAGTTTCAGAAATTTATTTTTTTCATTTTTTCTTATATATATATATATATATATATTTTGTTCGAAAAAAAGTCAACGAAAAATGATTTCCAATCAATGGAATTTTATAGACTATTTTTTGGAAAGTGTTTTCTAATTTAAAAAAGAGAAAAATATTTTTTCTCTTTCACGAGTCGTCTCACTCTCGTGATATATTTTAACAAATTTTTTCCTCGTCTCTTTTTTATTTAAAATATATCAAATTAATTTTTAATTATTTCTTATCAATTATTATCAATTAATTATTTTTTTCTCTATTTCTACCGACATTTAATTTTTTGATTTATAAATACATTAAATATTCTTAAAAATTATTTTTACTTTTTAAATTATTTTTATAATTAATATTTTAAAAATTTATCTCTATTTTTTTTTACTACTGTCTCGAACACCAAATAAACTATACGTAATGGAAACATCAATGATTAACTAATCAATTTGTTTTACTTCATCAAATATGACCTTATATATATATATATATATATTAGATTTAGAAAAAGGATAAATAGCTAAGTTTGTTGTCATATAATAATCCGAGTCTTCAATTTGTCTTTATATTTATAATTACATCTATTATATATTTAAATAATGCTTAAGTCTTTTATCTGTTTTTTTAATTAATTTTTTCAATCATGAAAAATTTATTTAATCAAAATGCCTTTGATTGAAAAAAAAAGAATTTTATAAAGAATTTAAAATAAAACATGCAAGTCATGTGACTTTAAGTAGAATTTTTTTTTTTTTTGTATTTAAGTCAGAGCATTTTGATAAAAAAAAAATTGCCCATGGAAAATTAATAAAAAAAAATTAAATAATTAAATATAATTAAAAACATAAAAATAGATTTGGAGACTCAAGCTTTATAAGTACAAATTTAGCTTTTAAAACAAAAACGGAAACAAAAACAAAACAGCAACAACTAAATCAAATGAAAATTTTTACCATGGCCCAATCCAATCAAATGGGCTTTTCTATTCGAAACAAGCCCCACATCCACAAACCCAAATACTTAGCCATGGCAGCATTTTCCAAACCCTAACACCACTACCCCCACAACCTGTCGTCTTATATAAGCCTCCCATAACCCTAAACCTCACTTCCCTAACTCTCTCTCACTTCGCCGCCTATCTACAGGGAGCCCCTCACTTACCACACACCACCACAAATGGGTCGTGTAATCCGTGCCCAACGTAAGGGAGCAGGTTCCGTCTTCAAATCCCACACCCATCACCGCAAAGGTCCGGCTAGGTTCAGGTCTCTTGATTTCGGCGAAAGAAATGGGTACTTGAAAGGTGTTATCACCGAAATCATTCATGACCCGGGTCGTGGCGCTCCATTAGCCCGAGTTAGTTTCAGACATCCCTTTAGGTATAAGAAGCAGAAGGAGCTTTTTGTTGCTGCTGAGGGTATGTATACTGGACAGTTTGTGTACTGTGGGAAGAAGGCTAATTTGATGGTTGGAAACGTTTTGCCTTTGAGATCTGTTCCTGAAGGTGCTGTTGTTTGTAACGTTGAACATCATGTTGGAGATCGTGGTGTTTTTGCTAGAGCTTCAGGGGATTATGCTATTGTTATCAGTCACAACCCTGATAACGATACCACCAGGTATAACCTAACCTCTTGCTTTAGTTTGTTTTTTTTTTTTTTTGAAATTATATTATGGGGTTGTTTTATTTTGTGATTTTTTTAGCTGGGTTTGCTGTTTGATAGTGTTTGATGGTAAATATCTTTTGGATCTGAAGTGGCTTATTGATATTTTTCTCTAATAAATAGCGAAAGTTGTGTAAAGCTGCTTATTAGGTTGTAACTTGTGTTGATATGTATGGTTAAAATGGAAATGTTTGTTTATGAATTAATTGGTTATGTTATTGGACATGAAATGTTAATTTTCCTATAGATGTGCATTTTCTTTTCGGTTTATAAATTTAATACAGTATTGTTTTTCAGCGTCTTTGCTAGACTGCTGGAGTATGCAACATCTTGAGACTTTATGATTTTATTAGTGTTGGTCTGTTAATTCTTGAATTGTTGGGTGGTGTTGATTTTACAAGCAGCTTTACAAAAGCTATCCACATAAAAGTGTATCACTTATTTTGGATATCTGGCATCTATTGATTTGAAAATTCAATGTATTTGGATTGTCAATTTGAATTGTTTTATCACTGGATAAATGTACATGTAATCTCACCGGTTCTGTCCAGTTTTTGTTGTTTGAACATCTAGGTAGGTTATGGTTCATTTCTCTTTTCAGTGGATGGAGTTGAAATTTTTTGGCCATATGTTTATCAATTATTTAGAACGGACATGTTATCGTTTTTGTGTTAGTAGATTTTTTTTTTATGCCACAAAGCTAGTAGTCAGATTTCTATATTTGTATCTCTGTATGTAACAAAGATAGTCCTGTCAATCACATGTTGGAATTAATCCTTGCAGGATCAAGCTCCCGTCTGGTTCCAAGAAGATCGTTCCAAGTGCATGCCGTGGAATGATTGGACAGGTTGCAGGTGGAGGAAGGACTGAGAAGCCCATGTTGAAGGCTGGTAATGCTTACCACAAGTTCAGAGTGAAGAGGAACTGCTGGCCTAAGGTGCGTGGTGTGGCTATGAATCCAGTTGAGCATCCTCATGGAGGTGGTAACCATCAACATATTGGTCATGCTAGCACAGTCAGGCGTGATGCTCCTCCTGGCCAAAAGGTTGGTCTCATTGCTGCTAGGAGAACTGGTCGTCTTAGAGGACAGGCTGCTGCCACTGCGGCCAAGGCTGACAAAGCCTAATGAGTTTCATTTGCGTCATTGTTTTTGGTTATTTTCCCTGCCTATTAGATTATTTCAGTATTGCTTGGGATGTTTCTAATGAAATTTTTGTTTGGATGTTTAAGTTGCAGACAGTTTTTGTTTTTGACTTTGTTTCGAGATATAGATATTATGAATTTATGCTTAAGTTGGATGTTCTTTTATCTGCCTTGCATGGTTGAATTCTTAATCTAATAACATGACCCAACCTGTTTGTTTTGGAAGTTTTCTTGAGGTTTGTGCAAGTTCAAACCTGATTAGTGAGAAATGTTTGGTGTTGTTATTGTCAATTAGGGTCGTTTCCTTTTGTGAGAGAACATGCTAAAAGGATGATTAGGAAACTGTGAACGTAATTAGGGTATAGTGGCAATATGGTGGCGGTGGAAGGAGAACCGTAACGCTTTTGTTAGACTGGAAGCTTCAAATCTTTTTGCTCTTCCAACTTAAAATTGAACTGAAAATATCAAAATTAATCAGTTGAATTCATTTCTTTTAAATCATGATAATCAGATACATCACTGTTGGTTATTTCATTTTGGATATTAGATTTGGTCACATGTAATTAATCTCCAAAAGATGTTTGTGAATGGATTCGTAGCTTCTGCCAACATAAAAAGGGTCATACCTATAGCTCTTTGTTTTTTCGTTTAGTGGTGAGGGTGTCATTTTTAGGTACTTAAATTGAAAGGATAATTCTCTACACTCGAAACTCTTGGTGGAATACGGTGAGGTTTAGTTTCAGGCTTCACTCATTATGTAGATCATGTAATTTTGAATTATTTTGATTGAAAATTCTATTTTTTTTGTAACGTTATTAGTTCTTGAGTTGATGCAGCACGTCATGCACTTAAATAGAGAGATTCAATCAAAACAATTTGAAGATTACATAAATTCAATCAACACAATCCAAATACAACGAGCAAATTTTTGTTTTTTGTTTTTAATTTTTATGTTATTGTTTTTTAAATCTCATTTTAAATGTGGAAAAACATGTCATATGTAGAGTAAATTATAAAGTAGTCCATCTCGCTTTGAGAAAGAAATTAATTAGTTTCTCCTGTTTTAAAAACTAACAATGTAGTTTTTTTTACTAATTTTCAATTTATTTTATTTTTTGTTTTAAGAGATAGAAAAAGAAAAAGAAGTAAAAATATGAAAAAAAAATCAATGAGAAAATAAGACATCTTATATAAAAAAATATTAAATTAGTTATGATCAATGATAGCTAAAAGGTTTACATAATTATTTTTTAAAACAAGAGAGATTAATTAATTCATTTCTCAAAACACGACAGGACTAGTTTATAATTTACTTGTCACATATAGGATCTTATCACTATAAAAATTGAGAAGAATTTTTTTCAAAAAAAATTATAATAATTTTAAAATAACAAAATACATAGAAAACGAATCTAACATGCAATTAAAAAAAGTTAAGATATTTTAGTCAAAATTAAAATAAAAACAACAATAATGTTGACCAATGAATCGATTATATATATTAAAAAAGAAAAAATTGTGAAGTTTCTTTTTTTTTTTTTAGAGAACAATCTTATTTTTTAGTTTGAATTTGTCATATATTCAAAAAAATTTACTTTTTGTAGAGGATTGGACCTATTAACTAGGAACGAGTAGCTAATCAATATTGTATGTCATCATATTTTTTTTTCAATAATCGCATGTTAATTTGTTTTTTTTTTTTTGTATTATTTTTAACTTATTAAAATCAATTATTATTATTTATTTTTTTTGAAAAAATGCTTCATGGTTTTACTCGTGATTGGATATCACATATGATATAGTTCCTACATATAAGATGAGGTCTTAAAAAAATAATAACATAAAAATAAAAAAAAACAATAATTTAGTCTTTGTACTTTTCGAATTGTATTAATTGAATCTCTATGCTCATTGAATTATTTTAATTGAGTCTCTTTATTGGGTCTCGCATGTAACACATGTCATGTATTCAGTAATGAACATGTCACGTCATTTTACAAACTAATAACATTATAACAAAAAGACAAAAACAAAACAAAACAAAAACCAGAATAAATCAATCAACAAAAAAAAAAAAAAAAAACAGTGTCTCAATCAAATTAATTTAAAAATTACAAGGACTATATATATATATAACCATTTGGCATCATTTGGTTACTAGAAAGGGAAAGTTCAAAATGATAATGTTGGAATCGAGATTGTATTTATATTTTCATACCGTATTTGAAATAATAATAAGAAATCAAAATAGAATTTAACTTTTTTAATATTTGATTTTAAGACAAATAAGAATAACGATTAAAAAATAATTTCATCAACTATTATGATAGTAAAAAAGATAAAGGTGATTGTTGAAGTGGTGATCATGGTGGTAGAGGAGGAGGAAAAAGAAAAAGAGATGATGGTAGTAATTGTAGTATAGTGATATAAATGTTATATATTTTTAAAAATAATATCACCATCGTAAGATATGACAATGAAAGAAGAGTGTTTGTGACAGAGAAAAAAAGATGGTGTATATATATATATCATTATCGCCAATGAGAACGTGATGATATAATAAAAGTGATGGTGGTGGTATAATAACAATGATGATAGTAGTGACAGAATAATATATATATATAATTTTTTTTATCTCACCACCAACAATGGCAGTGGTGATTTTAGTGATGATGATGGTGATAGTAGTAGTAAAAATAACTAATACACCATAAATAAAAATAATGTATTATTAGTTTGAAAAAAAGAATTTTCATTTTTTATTTTTATTCTCATATCTCCAAAGTGCTGTTTGGCTATCAAAAATGGAGTGATGGAAATGAGAATAAAAGTTTTATTTTCATCTTTGATTTGTTTGGTAGAAAAAAATGAAGTGAGAATAAGAATGGAGAGTTAAAATGTGAATAAAAATTAAATATGGTTTTATTTTAACTTAGAAGGTGAGAATAAAAACAAGAAATAAAAATGATTTTTTTTCCAAAGTAATGATACATTAATTTTATTTATTATGTATCAATCACTTCTACTACAATTACCACCACCATTAGCGGTGTCGATAAAAAATATTATTATTATTCGATCTACCACCACTATCGACGATGATGATAAAAAATATTATTATTATTATTTCATCATCGGTCCTCAACTACTATCTTTACTTTTATTACACAACCACCTCCATCACCATTTATAATTGTGATTAAAAATTATTATTATTATTATTCGTCATCATTTCTTTTCTATAATTATCATTACTTTTACTATACCACCACCATCAACGCTACTACTATCACCACTCTTCTTCCACTACTATCTCTTATAATGATGGTATCAATTTTTTAAAATGTTTTATTGCTATTATTATATTGTTATTATTGTCATCTCTTTTTCATCTTCTTCTTCTATTATTTCCACTCGTCACTACCACTACCACGACCATAATTATCCGTATCATTTTTACTTCTATCATATTTGATTGAATTATTTTATTTAATTATTATTCTTATTCATATTAAAAAATCAGATAGTAAAAAAGTTTAAAATTTTTTATTTAATATGATAATGCAAATGCCATTTCGATTTTTGCATTCTCATTTTAAATATTTTATTTTTAATGACCAAAAGACATCCAATTAGAATTTAATTTTCATTCTAATCCTCATTTTATTTTTTTAACTAAATTCTTATAAAGTGAAAATAAAACTTTTATTTCTATTTCTATTATTGCATATTTTTTTTTACCAAACCACACCAAAATGAATTTTCTACAAATCTAGAAAGAAATCCTTACGCAATCTTGGCGATGGCTGAGGCCCGGACCCTGGAATATATTATATGCTCACGAATTTGAGTCCCATCTAAATTAATATTTCCTTAATTTCAGAATTATTATGACTCTAGGATTGTTATGAGCAAAAGAACCGTCAGAGTCATAGTAACTACTGTGTTGCCGTAGGCAATTGTGATTCTCTCACTAGTTATATTCTCACCATTCAATCCCTTCCAAAAAAAAAAAAAAAAAAAACCTGCTATGTTCTCATCATGCATTGGATTTCTATCCTTTGATTATTATTTAAATTAATTTTAAATTTTTATCACCTCATATTGAAATTAAATAAGGATTTTTGGTATATATGGCGGTAGTTTGGACATGAACATTTTTTGTAGATTTTTTATTTATTTAAAAGGATATATTAAACATAGTGTATGAAATTTCATAATAATTCAAATGGATCATTATAATTTATTTTTTTCAAAAAACAGTTTAGTTATTTCATGACAAGCTTTCCTCAATTGAAACTAATTGTTCTGTGCTTAGATTGGCGAATATGATCCAAATTGATGCAAATAAATTTCCTTTTCACGACAGTTTTTCTGAAATCAAACCAAGACGATACGGCACGGTAGAACCAATTACGGTTTGGGCCGAAAGCTCTAAGCTGATTATCATGTAATGGCCCATAATAAACCCAACCATTGCTTAAATCGAGCCCACACGGTTTAGCTAACCAAACACAAGAGTGCTCGTATCTAAATCCCACGTAACCAAAAATTCCCTCCATTCAAGAACCCGGTGAAACCCATCTTGACCGACCCGAAAAACGCCATCTTTCCACCTGAGACAAACCACCAAAAATGGCTTGCTCAGAGAGCAACAGTGCCACCCTTCTCCATCTCCTAATCCTTCTATTACTAACAATTTCACTGCCCAATAAATCACTCTCCATTCGGATGCCGGATCGGGTCTCCAAGTCCATTAGAAACCCGCCACCCGATTACCCATTAAAAACAGCGGTTTTCGCTCTTGGTTGTTTTTGGAGATCTGAAGCCGTCTTTGGTTGCTTGAATGGTGTTGTACGGACCACTGCTGGGTATTCTGGCGGATCCAAAATGAACCCTGAATACAGAAGCTTAGGTGATCATGCAGAATCCGTACAGGTCCCTTAAAAAAATGACAATCTCACTTTGATTTTTTTTTTTTTT